TCGTGATCTTCAACAGGGAATTGAGTCAGTTGCCTTATTCTCATCACACACACACACAAACACACACCCCCAAGAATGTCACACATCTTTCTTCTCCTGGTTATTACACACATATCACTCCTACAGGCAGATGCCAACATACGATTAAGGACATACAGGTGTCGAGCATGGATTACCATTTCTTAGTTTAACAAAGGGCTATACCAAAAGAAAATGAAGCAAACAACAAGTCAACCAGAAAGAATATAAAGCAAATAACTGAATTAAATCCATCTCTACTGGGGTGAACTCAACCTGATTTTTGCCATTGGGACACACAAAAAAACAGCACCAGCAACCTCAGTTGGCCTGCAACTTCAGTAACCTTTTCTTTTAGACAGTTTTTTAAAGCACAAAGTCCACACGTCAATGAAAGCACCAGTATGGCAAAATTAGTCTGGTTTTGAGACCTGTTTGTAGGAAAAAAACCTTCCTGAAATGGTGGCTAATAGAAAGCTTTTACATCCAAGTGCACATCCATTACTGCACATGAAAGTAAAAAGTCATCTTGTGCAAACTGACCAAAGCCTGACGAATATTTTAAACCCTTTATGGTTTTAAATGACACCCAGCCATCTTATATTTTCACATCAGTTATTGCTGCTGACACACACAATTTGTTAGCACACTCCGGGTCACGAGTCAACAGAGCACCACTGAATTACAGCGGCTAGATGGGTTCTTCTCCTCCTTGGTTATACATTCCGTGCAGCTTTTGTGCTGCAGGACAGAAAGGACGTAGCCTACAGCTCCTGTAGGAGCTATACAAACAGAGGTGACAGCTGCCCAGGAGGGTGGTGGCTAATGAACATGAATGGGGACCCATCCTTCTTTCTTTGAGCCCTGGAACGTCTCCCAAGGGCTCCCGCAGAGAAATGCTTTCTATCTTTGCAGAGACCTCAGGGCAGTGCTTTGCATCCTCACCCAAATGAGGGAGAACAAGGCCCCGCCACAAGACAGCTCAGCACCCGGGGTGTCAAGGTGTGTCCTTGGTCCTCTGAGCCCCGGTGGTTCTGCGCTGCCCAAATTGAGGAGGAGTCCCCCAGGAAAAAAAGGCTTCATTTTAATTATCTCTGATTCAGCCTTGCAGAGGTTTTGCAGCCCCAAACTTTACATAATACTTCAAGATTAACTGTGTAATAAGAAGAGACTTGACCTGGAAAAAGTTCCAGATTAGGCAAAATTTATCTTCCCCCCCTTCCCATCTTGAGCAAATGTAGTAAAGATAGGGTATTATAGGTACAGTTCTGCCCAGAAGCAGTAGCTATTAGTCACCTCATTATCGTTAGTCATCTAGAATAGCAATTTTTAAAGACCTCTAATAGCTCCATCTGGTTGTTACACCACAGCCTTAAAGGGGGACTCAGTGCAATAAAACAGGCTCCCATGCTGCAGGGAACCCAAGAGAAAAGTCAGGGTGAAATAACAGGAAGGAGCCAGCAGCTAAATGGCCATCTAGGCTGCCCACCCCCATTTTCCCTTCTGTAATTAGGGAGAAAATACATCAGCCCCTTTTGTTAAGATCTGGGTAGTTAAAAGGTCTGCTTTCCCCTTGGGGTGATGGCCTGTGGTCCCCTTCCTCCCATGGGCACAGCCTGCGGTAGGGTTTCTACTCCACCCAAGGGCTATGTGGATCCAGACTTTCCCCAGTACACAATTCCCTGCAAGGAGGAAGGAAAGAAAGCAGGTTCAGAAATTTGGCTCTCCCTCCCTTCCCTAAATCAGCTTTTTTTTGATTAACTGAAAGAGAAAACAAGTCTCCAGAATCTCATCAATTATCTGAATAGGATGGAAAGCAGTGACATCAGCTGCTAATGAAGTAAATCCAAATTAAGCCACTGCTTTTTTTAATATATATTTTAATTTTATTATTATTATTATTTTACACAAAAGGGAGACCATCTGGCGTTCACCACTGAGACCATTCAAGCTTCCAATTAATCTCTGCAGAGCGGCATACCTCCTGCTTGTTCTGTGAGTGACCATTTCTGCAGCCCCGACCATTGGTATAGAAAATAGCTTGTTGAATGAGCCGCTACAGAAATCTTCTTGTCACAAAGAACTCGTTAGGTCAGCAATAAAGTGATTTATCAAAGGCTTGGATTTCAGCCACCAGCTTCACTTGTACAACAGACTCTGTTGCAGTGCTTCAAGTGAAGGCTTACAAATTACCATCATAATCCCGTAAGTATGCCTCATCTACACCAGCTAGTTCCTGACCAGCAATGTGAAGACCAAGAAATACAATCTTTTTTGACCTCTATTATATGCTGTCAGCCATCCAGATGTGATGCAATGAGTTGAGCAGATATTAACACTTCTGAATGGCGAGGAAAGAGCTTATAGTCTGGAAGAGATGCTGGAAGCAAGATCGCTTTGTGTAATCTTAATTTTTCCTGAGCCAGCCACCACGAGCTTCCTTTGCCAGATCACGCCAGCCCTTCTGCAAGGAGCCCTTGGCAGGGAGGGATGGTCTATCAGCCTGTGTCAGCCACACAGCAGCTGACCTCATATAATCCAACTGTGCTGGATGGTATTTTCAGTTCCCTCAAGTTGCAATCTGCCTTTCCTGAGACATCAGCTGTGTTTTTGTGCTAATCCCATTCTCCCTGATCTCTGCGGTGGGAGAGCAGAGGGAATAAGGTGGGGAAGAAGGGGAGGATTTCCTCAGAAAGTCAAAAAAAAAAAAAAAAGCTTCCATAATCTGGAACACAGGATCAAGTTCATCAACTTTTTCAACCCATCACATGCGCAAGTGGTATTTTTCCTTGCAAAACAGACTTCATCTTCTTACCTAAGTCACTTTTCAGCAAGAAGAAAGCCCACAGCTAAGCACAGCTTCAGTAGCAAGCCAAGGTGACTCAAATACAAGCCCACACATACATACTGTATTTACATTTTCATCCTCTGCTCTGCCTCTGATCCTTGCCCACCATCAGCTGGGTCCTGCTGTCTCCTCACCACCTTTCTCTCGCCTCTACCAGTCGCTGCCATTGGCATTTTTCCCCTTCTGCCACCGTGCTCCTTCCCCTCAGGGCATGAACTCGGTTACATCAGCACTGAACTTTCAAACCCGTAATGTTCGAGTGGATTCAAAATTAGTCAAAACAAGCTCATCCATCAATGGCTTTTCATGTCAAGAGCTCTTAGGGCAGGGCGGGGGTGGCAAGCGGGGCCGCAGTGCACATCCAGGGAACAATGAAAATGTTGTCAAAGAGCAATTAAGTGTGCTCTTGTGACAGGTTGGCACCGCAGCTTTTCGAGGTGAGAGAAGTCATGAAACATTTACGGTTCACCCAGCACCACCAGCAGCAACTGCCTTTTGCATACAGCCTGCATCTCAATCAGAAGGCCCAAACCTGTCTGGTACCAAATGATATTTGTGTTTTTTAAATAACATTGATCGCCTTTGATTACGAGTTTTCAATTTGCTGAGTCAAATGTCATATTCTCTATTGCTGCACAGCCCTCTTCTTTGCACTGTGAGCATTAATTAGACAGATTGAATTTGTTATCATGTATCTGAGCTACCAAGCATAAACATAAATAAAACAACTTCTCTCTTTGCTAATATTAGTCTAAAATCATTTGTGGTTACCCAAACATTCAAAAGAAATATGATAATGACACTATCTTGAAGAGTTTAATCAGAGTCAAAACCCCTTTCTAGGCAGAGGAATATGCGCTCCCTTCATTTTCATGGCTGTTAATGTTATTTCCATGCACAGCGAATGCGGCACTTTAACACGAGAATCCAGCTGGATTCAACTGCTGCAATCCTACCTAGCAAGAAAGTCAGGGGCTGAATCCTAAGAAGCGATGAATCAAAAGAAAGCAGCTGAAGAGGCTGCTCAGCAAGCAGCACATATTCCCACTAAGACCTGAGCACACCAGGTAAGATTTCCAGAAGGTGAAGGCTAGAGCTGTAAGCCAGGTATAAAAATGGAAAGAAAAAGCAGCATAAAGAATTGGGTATCTGAAGACTATAGAGTGAGCTGAGGCTCCCTGCATGGCTGAAGGGCTGAGTATGCTATTGACTGAGCTGGCTGAGGGTTTTGGACAATATGGGAAATCAAAGAGATGTCAGGGAGCTGGAGAACTGGCATAGTTCTGCATCCCCTCCTTTCCAAATGAGGGGAGCGAAGCATAAATTCAATAGAGAAATGCCCATGCCTTAAGTGCGGGGAAAAATGCTTTTGTGTGAAGCGTTGTGGACAAAACACACTGAATGAAAGGCTGAGAGCCAGCGCCTGAATGCAGTGCCTACCTGTGTGGGAACAGCTCCGTTACTCTCCTGAATAGGGCACTGACACACAGAGGGGACACCAGCTGTGTCCTTTGCCACCCTCCACAGCTACAGACGGAGGGCAGGTACACAGCAGCTGATCTTTTGTGTCTAACAGCACAAGGCAGACTAAGCAAAAGGCATTCTCCTCCACCGGTGGAAGTTGGTACCAAAGTCCAGGCTTGCTAGGTGCTTGATTCAGTCCTTAGCCAGCCCATGAGATACCAATGAGTTCGTCAACACCCAATATGCCCAAGTGCTCAGAGAAGAAAGTTTCCTTTCAGCCTCTTTTCAGGGCAGGAGGAAAGGGAGCATAGTTCTGGTCTCACTGTGCCACAGTACAAGAGTTACACAATGCCAGAAACAAACCTCTCTGGCAGAGATGGGGCTGGAAGCCATGGCTCCATGCTCGATAGCCTAAGCATAAGTGGCACTGAGCCCTAGCCCTGAGCATCCATCACCACACAGAGCTGGGACGGGCCATTACACTTTGCCCTCTGCCCAGCCTCCTCTCCAACGATTCTACAAGTACTGATCAAGTCTGCACTGTTCAGCCACAGTTCATAAGTCCTTCCAACAGCTCGCTAAAAGAAATTTCAACTTGTTTTATGAACCCATCTTCTATACATTTACATACCAGCAAACTAAAAGTGACACAAAATTAAAAACACTTTACCTTTATCTGCAATTATCCCATTATAGAAGCAGGTGAGTGCTGCAGAGGCAGTCATCACATTTTTACGGCATAACCACTTTAGATAAATGTTGCAGGGAGGCAGGTTTCCCCTTTGTGGGGAGATAAAGTGGGTCCTTTTAGAGCTTTGGTTAGTTTGTGACAGGAGGTCAAATGGAGATGTGAGAAGGCTGAAGTCAGTGTTTCCAGGTGACCTGCATTTTGCCTTCAGGAAGTTTCTCTTTTCCCTTATCATTGCTGCCTTTGTCACCTGTAGCAGATTATTCAACAGATGTTTTGTGGTTTTGTCTCTGAGCCAAGATTCATCTTCCTCCAGGACAAGCAGACAACCCCAGAAAAGGAAAGGGCACCTGCTGGCCTCACCTCTTTGTGGCAGGCTCCTCCACCTCCTCCCCAGATGGTACAAGAAGGGCAGCTTTTATCCCATAACACGGATGAGAAATGCACCCATAATACTTCTCGTATGCCAGGCTGAGAGATCAGCTTAGAGATGGGGGAGGTAAATGTAGGAGATGCAGACTGAAGAGCATTAGTTAGCTAGATAGATGAGCACAGTGAGAAATCAAGTAAGAACTATCCAAATCACTTTTGAACAGCCCCAGGCAAACACGAAACAACTTAGCCCAAAAATCATCCCTAAATCTTTTTCTGCCTACTGCAGGCTGTCCACTTCTGATATCACAGTGGGTGTTTCCAGGCACTGAGCTGTAGGGGAGAGATGGGCAGCTCTGGCTTTCAGGAGGACACTGGGGGGGCTTCCTTGTTTCCTTGCAGAGCTGGCAGTGCCATGTTCTACAGCCCCACTGCTGCTTCTCGTCCTCACTGTGGGTGACAGGACTCCTTTGGGGCATCCAGAGCAAGAAGATTTACTTCTTGCTGGAGCTTTCATGCTCATTTTTGTTTCAGAAATATCAGAGCAATTTGGTCGTGTTTGTACGGAATGTTACAATGTTCTGGTCTCTTCCCAGTCATGCAAGCTGGAATTTTACTTCGCAAAAATAGGACAAAATATTTATTCCAGCCTTCCTCATGGAACGGAAGCCCCCCTTCTTCTCACCTCTCCCAACAGAGCCTCAGTCCAAAGGGAAAACATCCTTGAATACCCTCTCTTCCTTGATGAGTGCAGAGCTTTCCCCATCTGCCATCTGAGCACAGACAAGAACCCAAGCCTTGTGTCAACATGTTCCCAGCCTCCTTTCGTAATATGGAAATGACAGTGGTTGCTGCACGCAGAGCTGAAATCAAATGAATAAATGAATGTCAGCAGACTGTGGGTAGAGGCGCAGAGGTTGCATAACAGAGCCACGACAAGTGCACAGATGCAGTGCGACCGAATTGGGTGCTGAGTGGATCGTCAGGGCTTGTTTCTGAGGGACGCACCTCATCATTTCGCAGGCACAGCTGTCAGCCGATGAATTATTCCCAGGGAAGGAAGAAACAAAGTCCTCTACCCATCCAGCCACTTGTGCAGGCCACTTGGAGGGAATGTTCTGTGACATCTCAAGGTAAATTGGGTGGTGAAATATTATGGAGTGGTTCCTTCTCCCTGCAGGATGAGTGTCTGGAGATATCCTACAAAATCTTTACTCTGTCAGTGTCAAACTCAATAACTCTCAATAACGTATTACCAGCTGCACATTAGCATTAACATCACACTGCAGGCATGACTACATGGACAGGGACCAGCAGACCTGTGCTCCTTGCCCTGGCCAGATGAAATGACTTCTGATCCCGTAGCAGACAGCCATGTTAGCAGGAAGACAGCTTACTCGAGAAGTAAGGCCAAACTTTTTGCCACTGTATGGCTTTCTTATTGCCACTGCTCCTATTTGCCTCCCTGTCAGGTGTCACTCCTGCCAACAAGCCCTCTAACCTGAACTGGAATGCTTGCTTTTTGTCCCTTTCACTTGCAGCAGCAGAGGAGACGTACATGAACCAGCTTTGCCTCAACAAACATGGCAACAAATTCTTGAATAAACAGCACGCTCCCGTGCTTCGTCCCCCCCCACAGAAACACCACTTCAGCCTCTTTGTGCTGCTTCCCCTCCCAAACTGCAGCAGCAGCAAAGCAATCAATGAGAGAGTGAAGTAGTAGCACGTAAAGCAGACCTGCTTCACTCTGAACAAACACACAAATAACCTCCAGTTTCAGAAGGAGGAATGCACAAACACTTAGGAGATAATTCCCAAACCCAGCAAGACAAAAACTGAGTTAAAAGACTCAAAACACCTGAGCAAGCAAAACAGTCTCTTATCCCTCACTAAAGCAAACACAAAGACAAATTGCATTCACACTTCAACCTGGCAAGCCAGCCATAATATATGGCCTGCCACAGCGATGATGATTGTTCTTCTGCTCTCCACCTCGGCCTGATATGCACTTGGCAGATTCATAACTCCTTCAGGCTCTCCAAGATAAACACATGTGCCTGATAGGGAACTTCAGCTATAACCTTCCTGGAAGCATCCGATGCCCCCATGCCTGGCACAGAGGAAGATTCGGGCCTCACCCCAGGGATGTGGCTTTGCTGGTCAGGTCCAAAAGGGTCAGAGGGTCCTTGTGGTTTGGGGAGTTTCTTTTCATCAGTGAGGATGGGTAGGGGCACAGGTCGCTGCTGCCTGTGGATGCCTGAAGCATCCTCCAACATGCCCATCCCCAGTCCCATGGTGGGGGTGCATTGTGTTGGCCACCAGCACATGTAACAGGGGTATCCCCTCCTCTTGCTGGGCTCTGAGCTCACTGATGTTTTTGGCAGCCCACCTGTCTTCTCCTCCCCTAATCCCAGTAGCTGAGGAGCTCCTACCCTGCCTGAAGCCTGCTTCCCATGTCCAGACCCAATCCACTTCAAAGGCTAAATTGCTGCAAGGGACATGCTTCATGGGGGGAAAAACCAAACCACTGTCACTCAAAGGGGTCAGGGAGTTTAGAAAAGCCATCTTCCCCTTCACCCCTAAGCCACGGGGGATTAGCAAGCAGCATCAGAGACTACTGAGGTGGGAAGGACACCCACAGCCAAAGGCTGCCAAGAGCTGGGAGCACACGGGGGAGCAGCCTGCAGTTAGGTGAGGAGCTGGTGGATTTAAATCTTGATTGAAGGAACACTTCAGATTCACTTTTTCGGTGGTGGGAGGAAAAAAAACAACAGTCTGTGGCTGCGTGTAGCATGTGGAAAATCCTGAGCGGGAGGACTGGGGCTGTGTACATGCACGTATCATACAAAATACGTAGCAGGTGTTGAGGGACCAACCAGCTCACGTGGAAGCAGGAATCTGCTCAGAACCATCACGGCTCTGGCTGCAAGATGCCTCTGTCCTTGTGCAGAGAGGGGTGGGTGAGCTGCCCCCAGCCCCATGCCAGTCCCCACGTTATTCTTGAGCCAAGCCACACAAATCTCAAGTTACTAGCCACCAGAGAAAGGTAAAAGACAAAAAGAATAAAGTCCCATCCAAAGAAGAGCAGGCACATTCTCACTAGCCTGGTACACAAAGTCTCTGTGCCCTTCAAGTTTCTCACAAGAAGCAGAAGTTATGGGGTGCATTTGTGTTGGCAGCTTCTCAGAGGCGCGCTGGGGGAGGGCCTCCCTTCCCATCGACTTCTTCTCTGTTTCTGAAGAAAAACTAAATCCCTCACCTTGTCAATATCGACCCTGATGTGTTAAGGGTCCATTTGTCAGGACTAATATATCGCTGCAGTGTCAGCATATCAGGATTTACGCTCGTCTGTAAAGATGGGTTCATTTCAGAGACCTATGGAGCTTTAGTTACTGGGCCTTGGCCTGCCCTTTAAACCCCATTTCAGTTAAAAATACATAAATAAATAAATCTGTAACCAGCTGCAGAGCGACATGGAAACCAAGGAGCTCATGGTCAAGCAGCCTTGTACTCAGCCCAGCACAAGTGTCAATGCTTGCACATCTTGTCCCTGACTCCTGCTGTAAGGATAAGTCCTATTTAAACACAAAAAAAACACCCTGGTCCTTCAAGACCACACTGTGAGGATCAGGCTGGGTCTGCAGGGCATGAGCTTCTCCATCCCTCACCATGCTGCACCCTGTTGCCTCTGCAGCTGCTCCGATTTACACCGTGGTCTTCCAGAGCAGGATCAGGCTCGGCAGCCCCAGTGGGTTCCTCGTAGCAGCCCTGGAAATGGGCGGCAGCCAGAGGCAGCCCCAGCACATGGCTGGTAGGGTCTGACCTAGTTTTAACCCTACTAAATATGCAAAGAAAGAAAACGAGCGTGTGTGGGGAAAAGGAGGGCAGCACAAGGTTTTTTTCCATTTCCTCGTCACTTCTCTGCTGCTTTATCTACAACATTCATATTTTCATTCCACGTTGAAACATTTCCACTGCCATTTTTCTTTGTGGGGTGCTGACAGAGGAAAAACACAGTTACTCTTGAAGGGTGGGCTGCTTTTGTGTATCTGTGTGGACAAGCTTATAGGAAGGTAGAATTTTCAAAAGTTTAAAGTTTTGGCAAAATATAAGAACATTTGGAAAACTGTTTACTATCTATTGCAGGAAATCTCTCTTCAGCTGTTTACCTTTCCAGTTTGCTTGTTTTTTGCAGTCTTTTTGTTCTTAACTTAGTCATCAAGAGCTAAATGCTACCCTGACTATCATTCTGACAGGCCTTTCTTAAATTATTTTTTAAGAGAATGGATTTTTATGCACTTGGTTTTATCTTTATTGCAAAATCTGCCTTTCCCTCAGTATTTCTGGTCCACTTACACCACAGAAAATACTCAAACTTCAGCTTCTCCTTCTGATTCTCTTTGAACTCCAGACCATTCACGCAGTACATAACTACTTCATTGCTATGGAAACACTGTTTTACTTGGACCACCCCACACTGTTCTGTGCACCTGGTTTTTGGCACCTTAATTTCAATACAAAATTGTGCTCGCTGACAGCACAGGAGTCACTGAGGGTACATGTGGTGCACCTTCCTGGTCTGCATCCTGCAGCTCATACTGAGCCCCCTCAGCCAGGATCTCTTGATGCCCACGATGCCAGGATGTCCTACCAGCCTGGTACACACCTGAGCCTGAGCCATGGAACACCATGGCAAGACTGGGAACATTGCCCAGCACAAGGACCACGTGGCAAAATAAAATGTAGAAACCCTCTGAATATTTGCTACTGGCTAACAAGAGAGAGAAAGGATAATTCATCTAACGCAATTAGGTGAATGGACATCTCCAGACTAGATCCAGTTTCCATCCCCAG